ATCTTTAACAGGAATTTTTCTCTGTGTGTATTTGGACATGATATGAAACACGAACGGTCAGATGGATTGATGGATCAATGGAAAAATATTTATATATTGCTCACTGAAATAATTCTACATTAAAATAAATACACAGAGGCAGCACTCAAGGTATTTTTTAGATGTCCATAGAAATTCCTTAAACAATCATTAAATAGAACACAGATATTCCTGCACTCTCTCATACAGAACAAAATGTGACTTACAAATGTTGAAGTATTTATGGGTCTATAATACTTAAAATATTTTCATTACACAGAAGAATTTCTGTGTAATGATTTTTTGTTTGCATTGAAATATTAAAGACGCATACATTTCTCATTTACATTTTTTTCTGTATGAGAGAGTGCAGAGATGATTGACTCGACTCAAAGATAAAAAGAGAAACGATTACAAAGATAATAAATGTAATACTAAATGCTCAGCTCCTCCGTGTTATCAGTTCCCCAGCTAATCGGATTGCTTCATTCTTTCCCGTTCCAGCTCGGTTAAGTATTATGGTTAAGGATGATGCTGCAGGACTGGTTATTCCATTTGCACTGCACTAAGAGATAGGGCGCTTAGTTTAGTGGTTTAGAAAGTTATAGCCCTTAGTTATTGTCCGTCATTAGAGATGACTGCACACCATGCTCACCAATAGTGATGTCCCGAACGGTTTGCCGAACGGTTCACCGCGGACGGCGAACATAAACATAAACTTTGACCCTGTACCTCACAGTCAGCAGACACATTCCAGCCAATCAGCAGCAGACCCTCCCTGCCAGACCCTCCCACCTCCTGGACAGCATCCATTTTACATTCATTGTGTAGCTGCATTCTTAGTGAGCTGTCCAGGAGGTGGGAGGGTCTGGGAGGGAGGGTCTGCTGACTGTGAGGTACAGGGTCAAAGTTTATGTTTATGTTCGCCGTCCGTGGCGAACTGTTCGACGAACCGTTCGGCGAACCGTTCGGGACATCACTACTCACCAAATCTTTGCCAAGAGATTGATAACTAGCGAAAATTAGCATGAAATAATTATGGACTGGATGTTGTAAATAGGTGTTAGAGTTGTAACATCATTCTTCAGCTATAATAATGTGTTTGGCAGACTGAACAGTAGTTTGAACTGTAGCAAATATATATAGCTATAGTATGAACTTTAATCCTTTATTAATCTTTAATTCTAACTCTGATAATTAATTGTTGTGTGTTCTGTTTTATCCAGAATTTCCTGAATATTTTTAATGCCCTGAATATATTTATATCTCTTTAAAGTTCTTTCTATGCCCCATCCTTCCCTTTTACTTTATTTGTCTATTTTACATGGCAACTCTACATTGCAACTTAAAGGGATATGCATAACTTTAAATGGCACAGTTATCTCACTCTGCAGGCTGAAAAAAAGCAGGTAGGTATGGTTTTTCTTTCTTATGATTTTATCTTTCTTATGCTTTTCACACCCACTCCACAGGGGACACTGATTTAACCAATCGGTGCCCTATCCCTAGGAATGCTGCAAAAGTGCATTGAGCATGCCTGACAGATTTACACATGTGCAGTTGAAAGATCCCTTTGCCTTGCAACATCATGGGGAGAAGAGAGGGAGTCATTTCAGTGTGATCATGCAGACTTGGCTTTGATGTTGGGGGTTCTCTCTCCTAACAGGAACAGAAGAGTGCGAGGAATGCCCTGTATCTTTCTCTAGTAGACTAGTCTGAAACTGAGAAGGGTGTGTAAGAGGGAGGGGTGAGACTGAAAAACCTCCGCTAGCTGAGAGGCATGCCTAACAGTGCAATCTGACCAAGTTTATAATACGTCTATAAACATTTATGACATTTTTTGAATGTTTTTCTTGCTTTTCTTTGTTTGCATTTTTGTTTAAAACTGCTTGCTGGTTTTTAAAAATAATTATTAGGTGATACATGTCCATATAGAACATTTTTCAATAAAACATTGCATCACTAATTACTTTATCATTGTTTAATCAATTAAAATGCAAGTTTAGAAAATCTACTCTCCTTGTTTCTACATCTCCCTACGCACTCCAGTCCCCCCTATTAGTTCCATGAAGTTACCTCTACCGTATTCATCTAGCTACCCCTCTAAGTACCCCCCTTGCTTCATTTAGTTACCTGGACCTGCTCTCTCCAGTTACTTTCTAACTGTATTTACCTGACGCTCCAAGCTGCACCAGCCATTAGTCTATAGGTTATACAAAACATGTTGAAAACTCACATTTTTGTTTTGATAAACAGAACATTTTATACCATTTATATATCCCAACCATAATATCACCTTTCGCTTTTAGGAAAACAAAAAAGAATATTGAAGTTATATAAACATTGTGTTTACATATACTGCTTACATGAAAAATTATAAGCAGTCTACATTTTTAAAAATATATTTTGTTTTTGTTTTTTCTTTATGGAGATTTTTTTCCAGAGGTTCTGACTCTTTTCCTTGCTTTCTCTTCTTGTAAGCCAGCAGACGTCAGGTGATGTCTGCAGAATCTGTTTGAGTGTGTGTCTTTTAATAATATTAATCTTGCGTGCACATGAAAGAGCGGTGACATCAGCACTCAGACGAACAGAGTTGGATAAAAAAGTATCACAGAAGCAGTAGACGTCAGTTACCTGCCGCTGAACATGACAATAATGTTTGGGTGATAATGAAGGAATAAACTATGGTTTTAAAAAGACATTTTTTTTTCTTTCTAAGTACATTTTATTTAAGTGTAGCAAAAATCATACAAAAACAATACTGTCAATGCTGGAATTTCTGTGGAAAATTTGATCACAGAAAATCTACTGGGCTAACGGCATAAGAGTAAGTAAAAAGAAAGAAAAAGACGAGAAAGAAGAGGGGAAGAAAAGGGGAAAAAGGGAAAGTTGGGGAGTAAAAATACAAAACAGTATTCAGTGAATAATATTCTATCAACCTAGTTTTCTACCCTACACTTACCTTTTGTGTCACTTCACCCCACTCCCTCTAGCATGTAAGCTCATTGAGCAGGTCCTTCAACCCCTCTGTTCCTGTGCATCCAACTCGACTGGTTACAAATATGTGTCTATTAGTCCACCCATTGAACAACCCCCTCTGTTCCACCCATTCTTCCACCCTCTGTTCCAACCCCAATGGTCCACCAATGAACAACCCGTCTGTTCCTCTAGTATGTAAGTGCATTGAGCAGGGCCCTCAATCCCTCCGTTTCTGTGCGTCCAACTCGACTGGTTACAAATATGCAGGGCCCTCAACTCCTCTGTTCCTGTGCGTCCAATTCGTCTGGTTACAAATATGTGTCTATTATGCACCCATTGAACCACCTCTCTGTTCCACCCATTGTTCCACCCTCTGTTCCAACCCCAATGATCCACCCATTGAACAACCCCTCTGTTCCTCTAGCATTTAAGTTCATTGAGCAGGGCCCTCAATCCCTCTGTTCCTGTGTGTCCAACTCGACTGGTTACAAATATGCAGGGCCCTTAACCCCTCTGTTCCTGTGCGTCCAATACGTTTGGTTACAAATATGTGTATCTATTAGTCCACCCATTGAACAGTGCTGCGGAATTTGTTGGGGCTTTATAAATTATAATACCCTACCAGGTTTGGAGGACAGTAAGTACTGGAATCAAAACATACCAGGCTATAGACCCAAGCATTCTTCCCAGAGCTGAGATACATTTGTAACATTACTGCTTACATATATAGTTTGTCATGTAAGTAATAGATATTGTTACTGTTTTTCTTTAATCTCCCTATTCCAGGCCAAGTGAATGGCTCTGAAAATGTTAATGTCAGTCAAAAAACTAAACCTGTGCTACGGCATAAAAGGAATCATTCATTCATTAAATCTGTAAATCAGTATTTCGTCTGGCTGATGATCAGGAGAGTGCTTTAACAGAACACCTGGGATTTGCATTATGAGGTAGATTGATTGTGTCTTCTCCTCAGAGAGGGAACTTGCCATATGAAGGCAATCTGTCTCCAGCAAGAAGACTATCACATGCACTTCTAATAATTCTGCTCCTGTGGAAATCATCATATTTCATTAGGAAATAAAGCTGATGAAATCTGAAGGATTTTTTTTTTGTTTTCACATATTCAAGAATTTGTTTTAGTTGTATCCCCAGCTCATGTAGAGATATATTACTTGATACTAACAATTATGAATTTTCTAGTTAGGTCTACTTTTGAAGATGGGAGGTCTGCAACACTCTGTAATTTTAGTAGTTGAGTGGGCTGTCTCTGCATGATGAGATGGCAGAGACAGCTTTTATTGCCCCCCCTCGATCCTTGCACCCCATATGACAGCATTGGGAGGAGGTCAGAGAGCTTCTGCTTGGCACATTGATGGATTACAGAGCACCAAAGTGCATGGGGATTGAGAAAATCTGTGTCTTCTATCACATCATGTAGAGCTAGTGAAGATTGCATTAGTTATATAAAATTGGCTCAAGGAAATTAAAGCCCACTGAAAGTTGATTCTAAAAAAGAAAGTCAAGCAAGTCACATATGTAACATCAAATTAAAGCCCACTAAATGAAGGAGTTCTGATCAGGATAAAGAGATTTGTATTTTAAAAAGCACATACTGCATTATTCACTGTAAATCTTTACTGGAAATTCGAAACCATGTCCACCTGTATTGTACCATGTGTACCGAATTCATTGTGCTATTTTACCATGATTTGCATGTTTCCAGTGAAGGAATGTATTTGAAAAAAAGTTCGCAATACAATAGATGGATTTTTAAAATTCTTTTTTATTCTTCTTCTTTATTTATAGTATGCAATCATAAACACTCAGACTTAATAGTGACATGTCAACAAGGTATATAAATGCAAGAGAATTGTCAGCGATATCACATGACATGTAGCGGGTGCCTAAAATGTATTAGGGTAACAAGCTTAGTAAAACCGATAGTTTAACATAGACATTTCACAATTTTATACATGGCAATGGAAGGTGTATAGGTGTAACATGCAATGTCAGGGATGTTGCCCCTTTTATAATAAAAGGAGAGAAAACATCTGAAGTACAATTCTACGATGAAAAGCAAAGAAATAATGCCAAGAGTTGTTCAATAGAATTGTAGATAGGATTATCCTGCTGTCTGAGAGTAGTTGCATATAAGGAACTATCTAGATAGAGTGCAATTAGAAATAGGGCAGAGGAACAGCTAGGTAAAATTAACAAGAGTAAGCACTAGTTCCATATACTCAAAGCCCGGCACATAGAGAGCAATGCTGCTGAGAATAAACACAAGTCCTAGGCTCTGTGTCCCGGAGGGTCCCCCAATTCCTCCTCATTCAGCCTATGCCTTTAAGGGTTACTGCCCAAACCTGTAACCCCCAGAGGGACTCATCCTTTACCTGTCTCAGTCCCCGACGTTAGGTTTATCTGCTTGTGCACATGGAGGTCTGCTGTAGAGTCACCACGGCTGGTTGTCGGTGTTGTTCGGGTCCAGCATTCGTAAGAATGCAGGCACTTCACGGCTTTTGTGCCAAGCTGTGATTTGGAGGTGTGCTTGAGTGACTTGCGTGGGACAGGAGCTGCGATGGGGTTTATGTGAAGGTGGAATGTTGCATCTTCTGCTGCGCCATTTTCTGGTTTGCAGTGTGCGGTATGGCATGCTTCTAGGCTCTGAGTGAGAGGAACTAGCGGTGAGTGCTCAAACGGGGTGTGTGCAGTCTCTATTCTCTCTTCTAGTTTGTTCCAAAAGACCTCTAGCACGGCCTTCAGCCGCGCCAGGATGTCGGGCTCTTGTGTTGTGGCGGGTTGCCTCGGAATGGTCGCTGCCATTTTGAGGCTAGTGGGCCTCGGCCGGGTTTGCTACCACTGTGCCTGAGAAGCCCAGTAGAGATTCTGCTAGAGTTGTGCATTCGGTTTTGGCTGAATTGCAATTTGTCTCAATTTAGGCAGATCGACTGTTTGGCTGAATTCTCTGTCTATGAAGTGCCATAACCACTAGCACTATGGCCAAACCTGTTTGATTCGGTATTCATAGTTCTGCCTGTGGTGCCAAAAAAAGGATTGATAGGAAAAAAGTTGACTGATTGATAGGGAACAAGTATACTGATTGGCATGTTTGCATCTTTTTTTTGTTCCTGGATATTTTTCATGAACAATATTTAGATGAGCCGATCCGGCAAATTAAGGAGTGTTGTAGGTTCCCGAACCAAACTGAATTTTTAGAAAAATGGTCGTCCAAACCAAATGTTTCTGCCATGCACAAGTCTAGATTCTGTTGGATGTAGAAAAGGCCCAATACAAGTACTATGGAAATTTACACCTACTTCAAGATCTGCCTAGTACAAATGACGTATTTTAATACCCTCGGGAGGTACTGTCCCAGGGATGTACAATATCAAGTTACTGTACTGTATCTCTCTAATGTAGGTACATATTAATGTTTGACTGGTGGCTATGCTAGTATTATTACTAGTGTTGCAATTTCAAGAGTAGTGATATATATAGAAAAGACAAAAAAACACTCGCAATATCTGGATAATCAGTATACAGCAGTACAATCCCCAAATGAAGATACATGGTTATTCAAAATCCTCCAATGTGTCGGTCACATGTGAAATACAAAAGAATACATGAACTGCTCATTGTATTATTTCAACATTCACCTTCACTCTTTGGAGCAATACATTTACTCTATGATATCAACGTGGGTGGTATAATCCCCACCAACTATAGGTGTTTCCGAGATCCAAATGGCACAATAATGATATTCCAATGTAGCCTGGAAAGATATAATCCACAGTATTATATCACAATATAAAATACAACCAAAAGCAGATAAATGTAGGAAATTAAACAATCTCAAAATGTCTTCTTTATAGACCATAGAGATGGTACAAACAAATGAAGCAATGGAATAAGTTGCTTGAATATATTGTTATCTTCAGTTGGATAACCAATATACCAATTTCATGCAATAGAAGAAAAATAATGCTGCATTGCTAGAGATTGTAGGACAGTAACGTGTATATAACATGCAGTAAGGCTGGTCAGAGGCGGAAGAACAACTTGAGAGTGTTTTTCAATGGCTTTATCGACAAATATCTAGAGACTCCGTAGCAAGTGGCTAGCAACTTTTATTGCACGGTAAGAAAGAGATGTCGTTTGCGTGGAATCATGGTTTCTGACGAATGTGGAAGTAATGTAAACCCCTAGGCACCACCCACAAAGGTAATATTTTGCACAATTTGGATTACTTGTTTGGGTTAGAGATTTGGTAGAGTTTGGAGCTTAATTTTAATTTATTTTTATTTCCTCACAATCTCAGTATATTGCTCTCTAGAAATATGTGACATGGAAAAGTTAGTATTGGACAAGATGTAGAACTGTTGTGATGCTCGTCTTCAAGACTTCTCTAGGGCTGCACCGCTCCTGTGGACCTCTCTTCCCTTCTCCGTTAGACGTTCACCCAATCTCCATTCCTTAAAAAAATAATTGACAACTTACTTCTTAAGGAAAGCATATCAATTAAAATGCTAATAGCTCCCCCTCGCACCCTGATTCCTCTCCTCTAACTGTCATAAAAGAAAAAAACAACAACAAAAAAACACTAAATCTACTATTCTAGCAACCTAGTTTTCTACCCTACCCATACCTCTCGTGTCACTATACCCCACTCCATCTGGCATGTAAGTTCATTGAGCAAGGCCCTCAATCCCTCTGTTCCTATATGTCCAGCTCGACTGGTTACAAATATGTGTCTGTTAGTCCACCCATTGTACAGCGCTGCGGAATTTGTTGGTTTGTAAATAATAATAATATTATTAACAAAATTCTATTTAACATTTTTCCTCTTCTCCATATATCAATTTTCCTTTGACGGAATGTTTATAATTTACAGTTTAAGCAAAGTATAAACACAGCAAATTCTCATGCCAGCAGAGTATACTTTGATTTTATTTATTTATTTTTGTGTAAAAACCAGAATCGATAGATATTTATTAGAAAGGTTTCAACAAAACTCACTGACGTAACAATGTGAGCCTTTCTAATGATTTTGTTATGATATCAACAGGATTACTCATAATACATTTATTAGAGTTACAGGGCATAGATCTCGTAGGGGACTATTACTCAGCTACATGAGCAATAACTTAATAAATAATGATTAATATTAAGGCTATCATTCACTTCTAATTTTAGGATCAGTTTCTGGTTTAAATACTTTCCCTTCTCTCTCAATCTCTAGGCTTGAGTAGCCAAAGTGGAAACATAGTTCACTTAGAAAATGTTTCCAATTCAGCTATTTTGACCTTCACTTTGAATTACGGTGTACTAGTCAATTCAGCTAAGACAACTATAATGTCACATATCATGTTCGTCCCGTGTCAACCTGCCAAGCTCTCCATGTGAGACACAAGAACAGCAAAGAGTGTAATAGCTTCTAGAACGTCTCTTTCGTGTGCTCGGCAGCACAATGGGACAAACTCTTCTGTGTTAGATTGACCGGGCTAAGCACTGGAACAGGTTGGGTTATCAAATAAACACACGTTTAGGGTATCTTGACTTGAGCATCCTACATTCCTTTGGAAACAATAATGTAAAAAATTATGAAAAGTTTTTTGAATGGGTGTATTTAATAATTCCATTTTTGTTATTCTACACTGACATCATCAATAAGAAAGACTTCATGTGCAACAGAACCTTTGATCAATATCTGTGTATTTGCACTCCTTTATCCGATTATCCTGAAGGCCAGTCATGATCAAAGGTCATGCTGTATAATAGAATTTTCATTACTAAAACTCATTATCTTTGTAATCAACATCTGCTGATTTCTTGATGGTTTGATAAGGTTATTGTTGATTAGCACAGTTCTTCATATAAACCTTGTAGACTATTGATTTCAAAATTATATTTACAATGCAATTTCGAATACATTGTCTTCCACTTTCATTGTGATTTGAATTTACTAATACACCAGTTTATAACACGATATGCATTGTACTGTTTCTCTATGGCCCGGGTTATTGCCGATTCGAGTTCCTATATACCAGTCTATCCAGGGGCTTAACGTGGCATCCTTACTCTTAAAAACATATTTAAGCTGAACCCCCTTGTGATGGCAGACGTACATTTTATGTAGACGTCTCTTATATCAGTGTATGCAAATTTTAAAGGCACTCTTGGTATATTAGAAATGAACTAAATACTCAAAACAAATCAAGTGAAAATTAAAAACAACAACAAAATGATCTGTTTGCTTGGCAGCATGTGTGATGTGTAGGAATTAATTTGATGATTTGCAACCTCATACAAATTATGGGGAAAAAACCCTTGTGAAATAACTATTGTCAACAGATGATGTGTAAACAACGTATTAAGCTACACATTTGTGAGTGAAACTAGCAATCATATTTTCATGTGTCCAGTGAATGATAAACTAGAATAGATCAGTAGGGCATTTCAAACTCAATCAAAGCTTGATGTCAAGAAACAGAACATCCAAACAAATGGAATGACTGAACTCGCGGCGAGAACAGTATCATTTAAAGTGATAAACTGTAACCATCTACTAATGTGACCAGGTAAAGTTAATCTTGGAAAAACCTTGGAGGTCAACATCAGAATCTATGGTAAAATGTTTAAAGGGACATGCTTCACCGTGAGACAACTCTTTTATTAAAGATATTTAGCTTTGAATGAGGCAGTTGCCTAACACTGCAGGCTGAAAAAAGATTATATATATATTTACCTGCTTCTTCTTTCTCATGCTTTACACACTCACTCCAAGGGGGATACTGATCTAACCAATCAGAGTCCTATCCCTAGGAATGCTGGAAGTGCTGCATTGAGCATGCCTGCCAGATTTGCACATGTCCAGTTGTATGATCTCTTCTTGTGTGATCAGTGTGATCATGCAGAGCAGGCTTTGGTGTCGCATTTCTCTCTCCTGCCTTTGCACAATAATTCCCTGTTTCGGTCATTAGTAAACTGGTCTGAAGGATGTGTAAGAAGGAGGTTGAATCAAGTCCTCTAGCTTAGAAGATCCAATGCACTTATTCACTAAATATAATAGTTTTGTGGATTTAAAAAACACCTAACCCATACAAAAGTATATGATCATACTTTGCATGAGCCTGCCACAACATCAATGTACCGCATTCTTAGCAGGTCCTACTCTAGCAACCTAATGTCTCCTCTTATGAGATTAACCCATTTTATTTGGAAATGCTTCTGCCTGGGACTCTCTGCAGGTCAAGGTTAAATAGGGCATTGAAATGAGGCACCTGTGACAGCCCAGAGCTGTACTTTCTTGCTGATCTTAATCCTAATCCAAACCCTAATCTGAAACCTAATCCCAATCCTTTAATTTGATGACTGCAGTTTAATGGGACAGTTTTTCATCCACCCCTGCAAGAAGCCCCATTTAATTTGAAAACTGCAGTTTAAAGGTACTGACTGCTAATCAGAAGCTATTCTACCGGATTTCCTTCATCTTAGTTACTACATTATTAATTTACTATAACAATGTTACTATTTGTATCTGTAGTTTACTACTGTAT